ACACTCAGACATTCATGTCTTGAGTGGGATTTGAACCCATGATTCCAGCATTCGAGTGAGTGACCACAGTTTATGCCTTAGACTGCAAGGTCACTGTGATTGGTTTGATGCAGGTCTTAATTCGTTATTTCATGCAACTTCCTTAAAATGCATCCAGTAACTAACAATAAAGTACCTCTGCTAACTGAAAAGATGCCACACAAATAGCTGAACCTGTAGTCAGCAGCTGAATGAACATAAGTGGGCTCAAAACATGTTCCAAGTCTGTGCAGTATCTGAAACATTGAACTCTTTCCACTGAAGATATTTAAGATGCAAAGTAACATAACGTCCATGTACACGTATTTATCATCCATCAATATTGCAACACTTGTTTATGTGTTTATGATGGACGATAAATACATGGACGTTAAGTTAAACAATTACAACAGGATGCTGAAGTATAGAATTGCAAAGTAACATTTTTAATAGATTGTGATATTCTGGGTACTTTCATGCTAACCATTTAACCAAATACTGTTTCTGGATTCTCAGTTAAAATATAATATAATGTCGCGTATCGCGGGGTATATCGCGACAAATAACTTCTCGATGTATTTGATGTAGCGAATTTTATTTCACATCCGCTCTCACAATCACCCAAATTACAAGCTGACAATTACTGCTATCTGCAGTATCATNCTGACTTTCTGTTCTTATTCTTTGTGAAACAATACCTTTGAGGCCACTCAGTGAGGACTGAAGAAGTTTGAATTGTCCACAGCCATGTAAAATTATACCGGCAATAAATATACCAATTACTGGAATATAAATAACGAAAATAAATGAATGAATTATGTGGACTATGTATGCAATTATATAATGTGTTGGCTGGGATATGTCAAACGGTGTCCAAGCTTGGAATGGTAGTACATTCCCTTTGTTATCCTTATCAATGAATGGAATACAAATCCAAAAGAATCCTGTAAAGAATCCTAAACACAGATAGAAAATGGTAAATATTTTCACCTGCTGATCACATTTCTTTAAAACTGATTCCTGGCCCTTGTTTATTACTTCTTTGGACACAAAAAAATTATCTTCCAAAACATCGATTAGTTTGTGGAACTGGGTTCTTCTGTATACCATATAAGTTATTTTAAAAATGAGCAAAGTGTTTGCCGACATTTGGCACATTATTTCGGTCAATACTGCGATGTTGCCCCAGTTTATAAAGAAATCAATCAGCTCTGTTATGTAGAATGCTACCAGTTGCAGGAGGATAACTGGAATCATAATATGGTTTAGAGTCTTCTTCCATGCCGATGCCCCATCTTTACATGGCCATATTCCTAAATAACTCAGAAGGTTTAGGTTGAAAGCCAAATATCTGCGCTTAACAAATGTTCCTGTCATTGTAGCAGGCAATATCTGGATGTAAGGATATGATAAGCTTAAAGCAGACCTAGATCAATTTTAAAATGTATATATACTTGTAGATGCAGCACTTAAAAAGCAGGTATTGCTGTTTGTCTACCAAGGAATTAGAGGTGGAAGGAGTGACTGAAACCAAAGGTGCGTTTCCAGCCAAAACCAGCATTGTAACATTGGATTCCTTATATTTAATAAATGAGTGAGATCCTATGCTATAGGAACATTAATATTCCTATTCTGTGCAGAACAGGGGTTGGCAAGCTTTGGACACTGGCGAACGACATTCAACTGCCACCTCCATAAAGGCTGGGTGCATAAGTAGTAGAAAATCTATTTCCATTCAAGTGTACTGAAGGCTATCATTTTCTCTATATTTTTTGTCCCTTCAGTGTATCAGATTTCATAGACAGGCCTCACAAAAATGGTCTGTAGGCCATATGCGGCCTTCGAGCCACCAGTTGCCAATCCCTAATAGAGAAACATTTTCAGAAGAAATTTAAAGTGTCTTTAACAAAATTACCTTAAGTTTCTTTATGAGATACTAAGTGGTCTATATGATCTGTTTTTAATCTCTTTGTATTGAAAAGGAGTTAACAATATAAAAACGGTTATAAAAAGTGTATATATTTGTTGTCTGGTTTCTATAGGTAATTTGTTTTCGAAAACGATAAAAATTTATAAATGCGTCCTTACCCACTTATAATCTACATCTGTTTTCCTATTTTAATCAAATTGTCGTAGTACCATAAAAGCATAGTAGTAAGCAAATTTCAATTTGTCGCTGCTTGTGTTTAACATATATACTTAGATCGTACCAAAAGTCATGAGCAAATCTTTTTGCATGCAACTTGGGAATAGCAGACAAAAGAGAGTATGGTGGTAGGTGGAACCAGCTGTTGTGTTAACCTTGAGTGTCTGCTAGTTACTGCTAGGCTGGTAACCCCTCTTAAAGTCATTTATTCCTCTATACAGGTCTCTAATGTTCTTGTTCTTAACCAAGGCTTTATCAATTCTGCTAAAACTTATTGTTCTGAAGTGTAAATCATATCTGCATTTGACTTTGATTAAAATCCAAATGCCTGTCATTTCAAAAGTCTTCAAATTTATACGACTGCAATAAAGAATGAAAAACTTCTAACATTATTAAGTGCTCATTTAGGAACATAGTGGCCGTACTGATTCAAATGAGGATGACAATACCGAAGAATACTCAGAAGTGGTACTTTTATAAAGGTCATTGTAAAAATGAGAAGGTATTGGGAATTATGGCAGTAAAACTCTGAGAATTATGTTCAATTTAATTTAAATACTAAAACAGTAACATGATCTCTGCAGCTGAATGTGTCGTATTGTTAGATTTGTTTCAAACGAGGATAATCAATATTCTCTTGCAGTGTATTAAAAAAATTATAAATTTCGAGACATGAATTTAAATTTGTAGCTAATTAAAATCTAACAGTACAATATGTATGAAACTTGATAATAAGCATTCGTTGTTGGTTTGGTACATTTTTGGCATACAAGTATTTGACACTATAGGCGTTTGTGATTTATTTAAGACTCTTTCAGTATTTAGGCTACATAATGTTTGATGATAAGATTATTGATGAATTAGAAAGGATCTGGAAGGAAGCACTCATTGTCTGACCAAGGTACTACTCGGCATCTGCCTGAATGGACCAAGGAAAACCAAGCAAAACTTCAGTTACGTAGTAGGTTTATGTAAGTCACACTACTAGCATAGTGCGTGTTGTGGAGACGGTCTCAAAATTGAACAAGACTATAAAGGTGCAGTCCACACTGTGGTATACCGATCTTCCATGAGCGTTCTTCAAACCTTGGCAGTCTGAATGCTCCTAGCTGTTTAGAATAACTTTGAGATTGACAATATTAAGAACGTCGGCATATTGTTATTACCTATTGTAGAACATTAAAATGTATAAGTATGTGACGGCATCCAGTAGTGTAACGTTCATACAAAATTTCATCAGAATCAGTCCAGCACTTCTCAAGTTGAAAATCCAGTCAGACAGATGTGATATCGCATACATACCTTTTTATGCACACAGTGCAAATAAAACACAATAGTCAGTCACACACAACAGACAAGAAGGGAGAAGGGGAGGGGCTATCAAATCCTTACTGCAAAAAAAATGTATTATGAAACACTGTACAGGGCCTCGGACGTACGTTTCATGAACAAATTTTAAAGAAATAACGTGCATGTGGACTGGATTCATCTAGCTTAGGACACACACACAAAATGATTTACTGATTCCTATAGTAGGAACAGCTACTGGCTATGGGCTGGAAGATGGAGGGGTCAGAGATCGAGTCCTGGTAGGGTCAAAAAATTTCCTCTTCTCCACGTCGTCCAGACTGGCTCTGGAGCCCACTCAGCTT